ACGAAGTCATAGGGGAAATCACAATCAAGAAGTATCAAAACAATAAAGAAGGCAATCACTTCAATTAAGGCAATTAGGAGCAGAGTAACACGTAAGAATTAGAGAAAAACTAGCAACATCATATGGAGCATATAGAGGTATTTTAAGCAATTAGGAAACCCAAGCATGACGAAACATTTTTCACATAATGAACATAAGGACCTAAGAACCCTAGAGGCAAATTTCCCACAAATAAGTCCGAGCACACACTCGTCACCTCGCGTGCACGGACTACAATTAGCATAGAAGACTCAAACCCTAAGGGGAAGTCCCCCACACAAGGTTAGGCAAGATACTTACCTCAATCTGGCCAATTCAATACTCAATTTAGCTTTTTCTTTACCAATTCATCAATGCTCGGCTCAATCTAGCCAAAAAACAACTTGAATACATATAACAATGCAAGAGAAAATAATTCCAATTAACAAAACTATGATTCTTATACAATTTGCAAAAAGTCAACAAAAGTCAACTCCCCGAGCCCGCACCTCGGAACCTGACAAAATTCACAATAATTGAATACTCATTCCGATACGAGTTTATCCAATTCCGATACCATTTGGTCCTTCAAATCATCATTTTACATTTTTGAAGAACTTTACAAATTTTTCCCAAATTCCATCCCAAATCACGAATCAAATGATGAGTTCAATGATAGATTCATGTATTCTAGCCAAATCCGAGTTAGAATCATTTACCCCGATGAATTTCTTGGAAAACCTTCGAAAAGTCGCCAAGATCCGAGCTCTGTAGGTCAAAATATGAAATAAAACCCTAAACCTCATATTTATAGTGCACCTCCCAGATTTCCATCACTGCTGACCGCGGTCTATCACCGCTGACCGCAGTAAATCCACTGCTCCCGCGGAGAATGTTGACTGCAGTAACATGCTTTAGTATTTTGAATATAACTTTCTCTACAGATGTCCAAAGTGTAATTTCTTTATGTTTCTGAAAACTAGACACGAAGGGCTACAACTTTTGTTTTTGAATCATCTCAAAATTCCTTGTAGATCAAAAGATATAGGCTTCCGAAGTCAGACCAGTGAACCTGCGGATTCTTCCTCACCGCGGACCGCGGACCGTTTTCTGCTGCCGCGAAAATTCCACTGCTGCAGCGAAATATCACCGCTGACAGCGGTCCTTTTAGCTGCTGGTGTGATTATTTACCGCTGTCCGTCCTCCCCCACGCACCCACCCACCCCCACCCCCCACGATCCGGAACAACTTCCGAGTGCCGAAATGTCCGAACTCGCTCAAACTCACCCCGAAACTCATCTGAGGCCCCCGGAACCTCAACCAAATGTACCAACACATCCCATAACATCATACGAACTTAGCCCCACTCTCAAATCACTTCAAACAACACTAAAACCATGAATCAGATGCCCAAACGCATGAAAATCACTATGAACTTCAAGAACTTCTAAAATTGCAACCAAGCGTCCGAACCATATCAAATCAACTCCAAACGATACCAAATTTTGCAGACAAGTCCCAAATGACATAACGGGGCTGTTCCAACTTTCGGAATTGCATTCCGACCTCGATAACACAAAAGTCAACTATGGATCAAACCTCTCCGCTTAAGCTTCCAGAACTATATTCCTTCTTCCAATTCGACTCCGATTCATCCGGAAACTGAATCCAACTGCACACAAGTCGATATACATAATGTGAAGATGCTCTTGACCCCAAACTGCCGAACCGGGCGCAATTGCTCAAAACGACCAGTCGGGTCGTTACAGTTTGGGATATCTAAGCAAGTCTTCTATTATCTTATTGCCACCCAATTCTACCAACTCATCTAGTTAAACCTTCAGAAATGCTTCAAATGAAGCTCTTGAACAACCCCAGAACTTCTTCCTTCTTTCCTCACCACCTCAAGTTTTTTTTCAGTTGCTCTGTATGTGCCTTGCACACATTCTATACTCAGCATTTGGCATCATTTCAAATACAGCTTGAACAAGTCCCGTGAACAACAAAAATACATTGTTAGAGTTGCTGCAGTGAAATCTTAAATATTAAAGTAAAAAATGAGATTAAAACAATACACATACCTTCTACATATCAGACATAATTGTTAGTCCATCACCTTCAGATTCTTTCAATTTCAATTCCTCCATTAGACACCTAAAAAACCAGGACCAACTGTTCTTGGTCTCTTTCTCAACCACTGCCCAAGCAACAGGTCTGGTTATTACCATCCTTAGCAATGTATGACAATAGCTCACATTTACACACACCCTTCAGAAATGCACCATCAAATCCAATTACTCTTCTACACCCTTCTAACCAACCTGTTTTCAAAGTATGTAAAAAAATGTATATCCCCACAAAGACCTCTTTACCAGGTTCTATTTCTTTTGAAGTCCTCACCACAACAGTGCTGCCTGGGTTAGTAGTTCTTATCCTGTCAGCATAATCATAAATCCTAGCAAACTCCATTTTGTAATCACCTAAATACTTACCCATTACCTTCTGTCTAGCCCTGGCACATATTGTTTTCCTACATACACATCATACTTAATCCTTATCAACTCTTGCAACTTCTAGAGCTTTATGTCAGGCTGACTAATGATCTTTGTAATGTTTAACTATCCAACCTGTGTTAGCAAGCTTGTTCCTTGTGACTGGGAAGCATGAATGGACAGGGTGGTATGTGTTAACAATGAAGTTCTATGTGTGCCCCTGTAAACTGCCTAAAATATGTCGTCTACATCTACTAGAGTTCAAACATCTTGCCCTGACCCTATTCCTCTCATTTGGTCTCAACTTTAACTGAACTGTCCTCTATACAGCATAGTCTTGTAAAGCAGATCTAAATTGTTTAACATTTTCAAAGACCATTCCCAGTTGGAAAATAATTTTCTTACAGTTAGGATCAAAGTAGACCTTTCTACTATATCTTCTTGGAGGAAGGTTATGCACATCATCATCTGCATCTGCATCTACATCATCATCAGTACTATCCTCACTCCCTGGATCTAAATTATCTAGGTACTGCTCATCCCCTCCCAATTTTCCAGCATATTTAGCAGTCTTGTCCTTGTAAATGTCTTCAAATCCAGGGTCAATACCTACAGGGCCACTAGGTATCTCATCTACATTAACATCACTATATCTCTCTTTCCAGTTCTTCTGATTTACTTTGGTCTGTCTAGCAGCAACAAGGTCAGCTTCTATATCACTTGTCTCTCCAACGACATCCTCATCAGCATCATAAAGTGAGTCATATGTATCCTCTTCAGCAGAAATACCCTCATATTGACCATCCTCACTCCCAGAATTACTCTCAAATTCATCACAATCGGAATCTGTGGCTAGATGAAAGTTGTAGAACTATCCTTCATCCTCAGTAAATCTTCTATATCAGCAGCCCTCCCTTTACCCTTCCCCTCAGTGAAACAACCACTATTTATATCATTGGTAGGTGAGTTTGTTGCCCTAGCATTAGCTCTACTTGTTTGCCCTTGTGGCACTTCACTAAAGCCAACTGTTTGATCATATGGGGAATCACTGGGGTCCACACCACTACTTAACATTTCATCCAATTCAATATCAACACATGGTATATTAACAGTGTGACATAAATAAACATCAATAAAATCCCCATCATGAAGGTCTTTGCAGAATTCTAACACAACAGCACCATACTTAATGAATCGAAATGATCCTTTTTTATTGACTCGGCATGCAAATTTGTCCACATCTAAGTACCCCATATCATTTACCCGTTTGTTGAATTGAATAACATGCATTCATCAGTTTTAGCAGTTACAATAGAAGGCCATGTTATACCATTTTCATACCTCATTAATGGGCCAACTGCCAGTTATCCCTGTGGTGAAATTGTAATTTCACAAGAACAGCCATCCTACCTCACTACGCCTATGAAAATAACATAAGATAAGTCCAAAATAGTAAAATATTCAAAAGAATGAGACAATATTGTTTGAAAAAGAACAAGCAAATGCTGGAAAAGAACCCTAACTATATCATTTTAAGAGATAAAAAATTTTGATATGATAAAAAGCCCTAATTTTTATCCCTATATGCCAAATAAGCGATGGAACCGGCAAAATCCCTAATTTAGTATGTTATTCCAAAAAGTCCCAATTTTAAACCCTAAATAACGAAAAACCATTGCATGCATACAAAACATTATTCTACCATGACCAACTTCAATAACGAATAAAAATACACTAAAACAACAAGAAATTTCATGAAAGACAACAATCAGACCTTTAATGACTTCTACGTTTCTTGTGGAGGAAAAAGGGACAGTACACGATTGTCTCAGATTCTTGTTTTGGGACCAATTTTGAAAGAAAAAGGCATAAACACAACCTTCAGATGATCTAATGGAATCCTATGACAACGTTCACTCCATTTTGAGCAGACGAGTGAAAATGTTAGAGGGTTGATAGAGACGACTGGAAAAATGAAAATAAAATTAGTGTTTTAGGGCAAAAATGAATGGGAAATATCAGGGGTTTTCCCGCCTAACACGTGGCATGTTTTTATTCCTTTATTGCTGATTGGGTTGCCACGTTGTGAAAACTGTAGTGCACGCGCATTGAGTCATAGGTCGGAGGTGTTTATTAGTTCGCCTATGCTCAAGTTTAAGTGTTCATATGGGAATTAGAAAGTTCCTTTACCGGTATGACAATCGGGTACAAGTTTAAGTGGCTAGGAGGCCATTTTGCCTTTTTTATTTATATAAATCTGATTTGTCCATACTATTGCTCAAGAATGTGATAATAAGCTTTTTGTCATTTTAAGGTTCAAAGTGACAAAATAACTGTCCAACAAAGCTATCCAATTCATTCACTTAATTCATGTGCCTTTTCGTTCACTTAAAAGTTAAAACCATATGCCAATGTGATAATTTGCACAGAATCGAGAACTTCATTCATTTTATCCAAAAGATAGCATGAGCAGCTAGTAGGAAATCACTTTTTAGTACAAGCAATATTACATAACCAAAAGAGTAATCCAGAAGTTAGAAAATTTTCATGCTAATGGAATCTCAAAACCAGCAAAATAACTACATTAAGTAGCATGAAACATAAGAAAGTTCTCCACTATACTCAAAAGTCAACCAGCAGCTTATCTACCGAAAGAGTTCACTAGCAAGTTACTACTGCAACATCACTTGTCTATTTACTTGTTGATCTAAGCATTTATGAAGATGATACCATAATCCGTAAGTCTCATTTTTCTTCATGTGGCAATGGTAAATTCGACCACAGTGAATGCCTTTCATTATGCGCACTCTTTCAATTTCCTCCACCTTTTCATAGTGATCCCAAACATGTGATTGTAATTTAGGCGCCATGATCAAACCTTTACAATAAAAAAAGATATAAGTCAAAACAACACAATTGATTGATATTAAAATATATCAATGCTATATCATCAAATATACAGAAGGTTATCAACTTACCACACATGCCACAGGTTGCAACTATATGTCAATAATAGTAGAATTTTTTGCAGAATTAGCCAAATCTAAGAAAAATATTAAAGAAAACTTTGTCATGAAACATAAACAAGTAAACTATTTGTAGTATAATAAATGCAAAACACAAAATAATTACCAAGTTCCAGTTGTTCCAGATACTCCAAGTCTTCCTCAACTTTAATAGGAATAGGTTCACTTCTAAGCCAATCTTGGAGATAGATAAGAGATTGCACCAATTTAGGCGTCAACGAACTCCTAAACGAGTCAAGAATGTGACTTCCCGTGCTGAATGCACATTCTGATGCAACACTTGAAATAGGAATGGCTAACACATCACGAGCCATCTTTGCAAGAATGGGAAATCTAGGCTCATTGATTTTCCACCACTTCAATATTTTAAACTCATCTGTTTCAGGCTCAATATCTTCATCAAGATATCTATCTAACTCTGATTTAGCACCTAAAACTCCTGTCACTTCCTTATGTCTCTCAAATTCCAATTTCGTTCTCATTGTTCCTCTTTTCAGAAAGCTACCATAACCACTCACAGTATCTGTTGTGTTTCTAGATGAAGCAGGTGTAGATCTTTTTTAACTTTTCTTTACATAATAATCAAACAAAGAGTACATATAATTTTTCACTTCTAATATCAATTTCTTCTCTTCTTTTTCTCCAGACATCCTCTCAATTGCAAAAGGAACATAGTCAAGCTTGTTACGGGGATCCAAAATTGATGCAATAAAGATCATCTTGTTTATTTTGTCAGGTTCACCCTAATACTTGACAAATGTTTTTATTTTATTTTTTTATTTTTTGCCTTTTCTTTCAAACTAGCATCTTCATGTTCCATCCACTCTTTCAAAATAAGATCAAGCTCACAAATTTCAACAAAATACACATTGAAAGTGACATAAATAAACCAGAGACCCTCAAAGTAACCAAATAAAAAGCTTCAAGAAATTTCACCATTGTTCTCACATTATCCCAGTCAGCACTTGTAAGACACCTGCACTAGTTCCATCTTCACATACATAGGTACGAAGATGATGCAATAATCCAGTGTCAAATACTGAGCATGAAAACGAAAACAAACAGAACACTAAAATACTTGTAACACCCCGCACATTCGAATTAGGTATGAATGAGTAAGGAGTAGTAAGGTTATATTTTGGACATATGAAGTCCTATCGGGATGATTATGAGTGAAAATAGTTGTTTCAAAACCAATATGGGAAGTGAGGTGCATAAGATTTGACAAAATCGACTAAGTTTGCAGAAGGTCTGTCTTCCAGCAAGGTTTAGTGAAATTGTATAAGGAATTTGGGAAAATTCAAAGCATGAAAGTTGTATTCTATTGATATAGCTTTCCAACGATATATTGTAGAACCCAAACGGAGCTCTGTGCAAAAAGTTATGCCCGTTTTACAGAATGGTATGTAACCACCGCGTTCCTGCCGCGTTTTTACCGCAACCGCGGTGGTGAGGCAGTGTTCCAGCGATTTACCGCAGTCGCGCCTACTGGGACACGGTGGACGACTTGGGAAGTCATTTTTTTAGCCTTATTTCGTCCCCCACAGCCCCAAACCTTAAAAACTTGCTCTAGAAAGGAAAACTCTCAAAAACCTAACTCCTTAAGGGTCCTTCCACCACCCAAGGTAAGTTCTAATGGTGATTCTAAGTTAATTTTAATTTCCCAACATCTTATTAATATGGGTAAACCCTCCATATCATTAGATATTCGATTGGGACACCATTGTTGATAGAAGAAACCCTAGAACTCGAATTCAAGAAGATTGAACGTCAAAAAGGTAATATCTTCACCCTCTAATTGATTCTACCATTGAATTAATGATTATAGACTCTATTTTATGAGATATGAGTTGATGGGTTTGATAGAAAAGCATGAACGGTGATAGGTTTGGGTTGTTGATTGGTTATTATTGGTTATGGGTGTTGATTACCTTATGGGTGATAAAGAATAATGTTGATTATAACCATTTGAGACTTTAGAATTTATCTAGGAGCAGGAGAATGGGTTATTGGGTGTAGAGACACCATTAATAAGGACTATGAAGCTTTATTCTCACCAAGTGTTTGATGGGATGCTTAAGTGACCAAACATAAGCATCATAGCTAATATGGAATCCCTTTGACTTGTATTGCTGTAGATTAAAGTTGAGAGGGTTGACAAACGTTGTATTACGCTCAAGGGCAGGAAGTTAAGGTATGTGAGGCTAACTCTCTATGTTTGGGAATGTTAATGATTCTCCCTACACTACGTTTCTTTTACGACGTTACTAATTGCCTCAGAAATATAGTTTAGCCTAGTTCCTTGAATAGTTGCAGAACTTCTATTCTCTAGCTTCATAACTCGTTCACCACTTTCATTCTAAACGTTGTGAGCTCAGTGCGTATTCAATATAGACTTGGGTTTGATGCCCCCGAGTCTTAGTATAGATTACTCAGTATGCCATAAATAGTTGAAGTTTCAGTGTTCATAATCAGTTCAAGAATACATGTCTCAGTCTAGTCCTATCCAGTATTCCAGTATTATATAACTCAGTGTGATCCAGTATTCCAGTATTATGTAACTCAGTGTGATCCAGTATTCCAGTATCATGTAACTCAGTGTGATTCAGTATTTCATTATCATGTATTGCAGTTTGATTCTCAGTTCCTGAATGTTGAGCATATAATTTGGGGCTGAGGCCGCAGTTTATGCTTTATGCATCTTTGGGCCTGAGGCCGCAGTTTATGCTTTATGCATTTTGGACCTGAGGTCGCAGTTATGTATACGTATACTTGGGCCCGAGGCCGCAGTTGTGCACATATATATATATATATATATATATATATATATATATATATATATATATATATATATATAGGGCCTAAGGCCGCAGTTTATTTATTCAAATAAACAGGTTGTTCATCATTCAGAAGAGGGAGTATTCATATCCTTACTTCCTTTGTTCAGTTCAATTATTAGTTATCATTTCAGTTATCAGTTATCATTTCAGTCACCAGTTATCAGTTATCAGTTAAGTTATCATTTCAGTTTTAGTTTCAATAGTTATCATTTCAGTTATCAATTATAAATTCTCAGTTATCAGCTTAGTTCAGTTTCAGCAATTATAATTCTTTCTTTCAGTTGCTTTACATACCAGTGCAATTCAAATGTGCTGACGTCCCTTTTTCCCGGGGCCTTCATCTCACGATGCAGGTAATGATTTACAGGTTGATGATTCAGTGCGCTAGGATTCTCGTATCAGCTACTTGGTGATCCCCAATTCTTCCGGGGGCATTATCATTACCTTACAGTCTTTAGTATTTTCAGACAATCAGTATTTTCAGTGCTTCATTAGAGGCTTCATAGATTAGAGTGACAGCTAGACAGAGTCACAGGCTTTTCATTGAGCTGTGTTGGCTACAAAGATGTTTCAAAATTGTATTAGTATTTCCGCACTTTGATTTATATCATCCAGACTTTCAGTATATCAGCATGTGTTAGTTTATCTTCCGCATTCAGTATGTTATGATACCACATGTTGATTCAACCAGCCAGTTGGTTCGCTCGGTCACATGTAGTTAGGCACCGAGTGCCGTGTTACGTCCAGGCCTAGGTTCGGGGCGTGACAATACTGAGCATGAATATTTAAACTAAGCTATAATAATGCTAAAAAGGAAGCTAGAGGAGGAGACAGAAACAAGCACAAAATTAAATAAGGAGACGGAAACAATAAGCAAGCAAGGAGACAGAAAATGGACATCAAATTCAAGAGTCAAGACTTCTTTCAACAATGTACATGGACCTTTAAGTCTTTAACTACTAACTTTTAGCAGGAATAAAAAGATAAAAATTAATAAAATGAGAGAAACAATAGAAGATTGGCGAGGACAGAGAACAAAAAAGAAGAAATGAGAGAAATATAACAAAAAATAATCTTACCTGGACAACAACAAGAAAAAAATTGACGACAATGAAAACTGCTGGAGCACCACCGGCACAAGTGTATCAATGGTGATAGAGACAAGAGAGGCGCAATAGAAGTTTGAAGAACCCTAGCGGCTTAGAATGAAATGGAAGTTTGATTAAAGTGAAAGTCTTAAGATTGGGAAAAGCTAATTGACTTACGTACTTGGGCTGGCTCTTGGATGGAACTTAAAATTGGGCCTAATATTATTAATTTATTACCTATGGTCTTAGCCTATATATAGTTTAAAGAATCCACTACTAGAAAGTCGGTTTTTCGGTTAACCGAACCAAATAAATCAAAAATCGACGACCGAATCGAAAAAATAAAATTTTAAACTGGAACCGACTGAAAAGACCGAATAACCGAAACCGAAATAAAAATATTTTCGGTTCGATCGGTTTCTTCAGTTCTGACCGTTATATGCCCACCCCTAGTCCTTAGCCTCCAACTCATACCAATTTCCTTATACGAAACCAGTCATTAGTTATTTATGACATTAGCAGTAAGGAATACAGCACTTAGCATGTTTTAATCTTCAAATAATCACATATGCATACATCAGTTTATGTTTTCAATTAATCACCATGTGCAATGATAAATTATGTATCTCATAGGCTATTAAACACAGAAACAGTACACAGCGACACCAATTCAAAACAAACAACACAACAGTTACAATTACATCACGTATTCCGTTAATTCAGGTTAAGATTATATTATAGGATATCTGTCAGTACCTTAGCAGCAGCAAAGCAATCAAAATTTTCCGAATAAAGGCTGAAATTAACTAGGATTGGAATTCAGCTACAGTTGAAAGAAGAACAACTACAAACAAGCAAAAATTCCAACTAAATCTTCTTCAAAACCCAAAAATGTAGAGGAAACTATTTTTTCGAATCAATAGAGAAACGCTACTGGTTTTTTTTTTTTAATTATTTTCAGATCTGGATTTTTAATTTTTGTGTGTTTTCCAGCATTTTAGCTGCTAGTCTAGGAGTGTGAATTGTTTTAGTAAAGGTGAGTGAAGTCAGAATGAGAATGTATGGGGCATGAATGTGTGAGTCAGGGTGCTCTTTTATAACAGAATTTACAGCTGTTCATTCTGTTATTTCCCTTCTTTTTTACCCTATTATTTTCTGTTTATTACTTCTTAGGCCTCTAATTGCCAACGCACGTTAACTCTTGTTTTGCTATCTAGTCCCTTTCTTCCCTTTCTAGAAGCATCCAAACCAGTTAAACTAAAGATTCCTCAAGCCTAAATTCGA